TCCTACAGGAATAGTCGGAGCTCCAAGAAACGAGAGAAATAAAAGACAGAGAAGACAGAGAGAAAATATTATTTATTTCTTGTTCTACGCCAGGTACAGACAACATGTATATATAGAGCCTAATGGAAAAAGCCATATAGGCAGCTACACAAGAAAGTCATACAGTATATAAATTATATTGTTTTATTCTTGTGCTCTAATAAAATTGTATGGATTTGTTGAAATGGTAAGGAGTTTGGCTCAAAGAAGACGCCGACTTAACAATGGTAGCAGATTTGGGAGTCGATGGATTGATTCAAATGTATTGTTAAATATGGGAAAATGTGAAAATTGTTAGGAATTGATCCAGTTTTAAGATAGTTGATTCCAAGTTCATTTCATACTAATAAGCCTTTATATAGAGAGAGAGTTGCAATTCCAAGTTCTCTCTCTCTCTTCCAAGAAGCTCAAACTTCTACTTCCTCCCAAGAATCCAGCATATATTAATTTAGAAATATTAGCGGCTGATTGTTATTATTTTTTTTCTAATTAGTTGGCCACTATTATTTCAAAACCCTTCTTCGAGCTCTTTGATTCATAATTTTTAACAAATTTGATAATCATTTCTGCTCTCAAAAACTTATTAGAGCCATTTCTTCGATTTTATAGTTATATTGTTTTCAAATTAATTGAGAGTTTTATCAAAAACATTAATATTTTAGATGAAAATTTAAGAAAATTCTGAAATTAGTCATCAAAATTTCATTAGAATTCCATGAGTTCTTATCAAGTATTAGGTTCTATTCCAAACTAAGCTCTGATTATATTTATTTTTTTAATGTCATAATATATATTTTATAACATTTTATTGTTAAAATGGAGGTATGAAAACCTTCTTTTAAAGCATTAAATTCTCCTAACAAAGCATATATTAAATAGTTTTTTTTGACAATGTTAAAACAAGAATAACTTATTCATTTAATAATATTATAATCTTCAAAATAGATCCTAAGAGTTATTCAATTTGAAATAAAATGAGTGTAAAATATTTCAATTATAGAAGTTTTAAAAATGTTAGTATTTGATTTAAAATACAAAAAATATATAATAAATGTATGAAGTATTTGAAATTCACCATTTAATTTAATTTTGGTATATTTGAAAGTATTAGATTTTAACAATTTTTAAATACACTAAATATTTAGGTTATTGTCGTCGTTAGCAGAGCCTTGCATGGGGTCTTGGTTGGGTACCCACGCTCTGCGCAAGAGAGCTTCACCCACCTACACCCATCCATGGTGGCTTTTGGGCGCCTTACCCACCCATACCTACGCACTTTCCATGTATTTTGAATATAATCTACCACATATTGATGGTCTTGAGGCTTTTTATCATTTGTGTGGTTCAGTGTTCCGCATTGCACAGTGATGGTTGTGACAATATATGACATATGACGATTAGCAATTTCAATTGATTTATTCTTTGAAATTGAATACTCACCTATACCCACCCACAAAGTTATGTGCATACTCATACCTACCCATACCCATTGGGTATGTGTTGGTACATGGGTGGGTGTGGGTGTGGGTATGGGTACCCAATGCAAGACTCTGTTCGTCAGCCACCTCCAAAGTTCATTGCCACTGGTCAATATCATCATAAAATTTTAAGTTGTATTTATTTTATTTTAAATAAAACAAAAATAATTATCTAAATTTATTTTATATTCATCTAAATAAATTAAAATATATTATAATTAAAATATATTATATATTTATCATCAAATAAAAGGACCCTAAAAAGTTTATAGAATCATTGAAGGAATATAATATAGTGATATAGTATATGCATGCCACACGTGGTATTCATCCAATAATTTAAAAAAAGTGGCAATATATTTTTGATGTTCATCTCTTCTGGCTTGTCAAGTTGCACTAACGTTTTAAGATTTGAATATCTTATTAGTTAAGAGAAAAGCATCACGTGATCACTGACACCATCACATAAAGCTGGTCTATTTTATTCAAAATTTAATAAATTCAGATAAATTATATATATATATATACCAAATTTTCATAGTTGAATTATAATATCTATCTTCTTGATTGATGTTTTTGGGCTTTTATATGTACACACAAATTGAATGTCAAATCTCTCCTATAGTTAGTGGAAGATACACGTTAAAATTGGACAAGATGAGAAGAAGAGTTTGTTAAGCTACGTTGATAAATGATAATGAGATTTCATTGGACTTATCTCTATGAAAAGATTGAATTGGTCAGATATTTTGATAAAATATTGGTAAGGATGAATGTTAAGATTATTAGATTTGTGTATATTGTATATAATATGGTGTATTTTATGTCACAATAGTAACAAATAAGCTAAAATATTTATATAAAAATAGAATATAGCTTATTATCTTGGATAAGGGAATTGATATCTTATCAATACTTGTGAGATATAGCACTCCATGGAGATATGATCTTTCCAATTAAGTAGGGACTATGATAAGATATTAATGTATGAAAGGATAAAATAAGATGAGAAATTTGGCTCAAGCTACAAATTGGCTTTGGTCAAAGCGATTTTATGTGAAGAACATCACTCTTGATCTGGACTAAAACCAACTTATTAGCAAAGCAATTCATCAAAGGAATTTGGCCCTCGCACAAAATACTCAATAGTCAACTAAGAATCTCACACAAGAACTGACCAAACTACTCACCTCTCCACAACTAGTTACATTATGTCGAAATTATATGCAATTTTTTGTAATCAAATTAAATTATATAGCCAACTCTATAATGTTAACTTTGTCCCTTAAATATAAATTAATGGTTATTGATAATGCATATGCATCATTCAATCATATATATTTTTTAACACATAAAAAATAATTATGCATCATTCAATCATATATTTTAAGTCAGAAGTCTATCACAATAAATTACCTCAAACTCTCCTTATGATTCTCCTTATAATTCTCGTACTCTCTCTCTCTCTCAATAATCTTTGTATCTTTATTTGAGTTGCCCATTTTTATCAAATAGTTCAACTAATTTTTTTTATAGATAAATGAACCTAAATACCTTTTTGATGTCTTCTTTATCTTTTATCCCTTCTACTATTTAGCCTTGATTCATATCTCCATTAAGACTTGTTACTTTTTTTCAAACAACATTGAACCCAATCATTTTAAGTTACTATTTTTTTTTTTTGGAACATAGGTACCTATCTCGTCACTGCACCTCCAAAGAAGGCGCATGACGACATAACTAATCCATCAGTGGACCTACCAACAACCAACCCCATAGGTACAGGGCCACACAGTTATTCTCCCCGTTTAAAAAGACACGCAGCTTGAGAGAGAAATCAAGCATGAGTTTAAAGGTTCTCAGCAACACTCGCCCACCAACTCATCTAAACCTGGTAGGGTTTAAGTTACTAGAGAGTAACTAGTAGTTAATATTAACATGTTTTAATTCGGAAAAAAATTACATAAAGAGGATGTCATAATATAAATCATGTAAACATTGTCGAATTAATGATGAGATTAATACAAATTATGATATCAAATATCATAATACAATATTAGCAAATATAATGATTAACTTGTACCAATGTTATAAACTTTATTGTGGTGCATTAAATATTTAATTGTAATCATTTTAATCATTTCATAATTTTATCAGTTTATTATTAAATATTCCAAAACATATAATTAAAAAAGTTTTAAATAATTATCTAATTGAACAGCTCCTTAATTATAATTACACACTAAACTTTTGAGATTACTTGTAAAATTTAGCAAAATTGCATTAAAATAAACAAAAAATCAAATAAATTTCAATCAAAATCATCATAATGAAATAGAAATCATTGAAACATAAAATCGTCATTAATACTACCAAATACCAATCGAAGCCCACCACAACCAAATATAAATAGATATTCATAAAACCCCTCCGTCATCCCTATAATTTCAATGCCTTTTCCATATTTGCAAATTTCAGAGTACATTGGTAGATATGTACTCAATTGTACTCCACATGCTTCAATAAATGCTGCAAATATTTTTTTTCCCTGATATCTTAAGGGGGTCCCACACACGCGCAAGAAATTAGAAATAGAAAGAAAGCTTTGCAATTGTGATGCCTACTCCCAGGTTTTAAACTACAGTTTTACTGCAAGTTAAAAAAATAGAAACTAACCCACTCACAAACTTGCAACCATTCATTTCATTTGGGACGACTTTTTTTCTGTTTTAAGAAGCAGAAAGAAAACTGTCTCAAACGAAGCCTCAATCTATGAAGCCAAGATTTCAAAATGTAATCCTTTGATGATTTGTGTGGTTATGGGCCGATTTCGATGAACCGAAAATTCACAATTGAAACCAAATTTTCGATCTACTAGATTCCAATGGCAGAGCTCATAGAATCAAGTAGTGGATTGTTAGGAGCAGATTGAAGAAGATAACAAGAAGCATAATTCTAGTTTGATTCTTTCAGCACAGCCACAGAAAAAAGAAGAGAAGTGAATTTCTGGTTAAGGAAAACTGGACAGTGAAAGGAATCTCAGCTGCAATAGGACTCACATGGGGTCATTAGATGATAGATATAGCTCACCTGCTGAAGAATCTTAATATACACACCAATCAGCCTGACCAGAAAGTTGCACTACCTGAGGACTAAAAATCTCCAATCCATCAGAATGTTGTTTTCCTATATGGACCAAAGCCTAACTTTTGCTGACCTTGTATTAATGATGTATTAGGCTAAGTTTCGAACAACTTTTTTGATGCTTCTTAAAGCAGCTTTTTAGTTCAATTATTAAAATTTTTGTACTAAAAAGTTGTTTTAAGAAGCAACAAGAAAGCCATCCCAAACAAAGCCTTAGTCTTGATAACTAGTTCAGCTCTAGAGAATTACACAAAATTTTACTTATTCTTGACTTTCTCGACAGTACTGATTACTGAATGACAATAAAGGGATTCAAAGAGAGAGAAAAAAGGGCTGTAAGAACAAACAAGTACAGAATGCCTTTGGATGCTACAGCAATGGTTGTTTTCATGCAACGTTAATAAGACCAAATAATAAGACCTCTAAATGAATTAAACAAGAAGCATTCGAAGCACATAAAACTTAAACAAGTTCTTCACAGGCAAATTAACAAAATCTTTTTTTCTCCATAAGATTAAAAAAAAAATTTCAAGAGTTCCTAGCCTTCACCTGGAGTATTACTATGGAGTGAGTAGCTTGCTTGGGAAGGGAGTTCTAGATCAAATGATGCCTGATTTCAGCTTTAGCTGATAGATGCAATAGAATGAGAGCAAGGCAAACTCGAGGCTCAGTGTTCATCACTTCAACTTCAAAGTTCTAATGATTGTGCCGGGCCGGCGACATGATATAACAGCATAGGTGGCCTCCCCGGCCATGGATAACCTGCTTCTAATTCTATTTCACTAACTAAAAACTGATATTCAGATAGAAGATTTGTGCTAAGTTTCTTCAACTGCGATTATACAAGAATAGTTCAATCAAGCAATTCAAAATGTGGGGCATAGAGAATCTCTGTATGGGTCATGAAAACTCCGACCATAATGAACCTCCCACCAGCCATAATGGTTAAAAGGGTCTCTTCCAACTAAAATTATCCTCATTAAGCTCTTTAAATGGAAATGGAGGCCTGTTCCTATGCCCTGGATTATAGTATCTTAACAAAAGGTGGAGCATCATTCCTCGGTCCAACAAGAGATCGATACAAGTATAACTTCCCCACTGCATCACTGTTATCATCCTCTGAATTGTCCCTGATAACTTCCACCACAATTCGAGGCAATTGCCTAGCCAAATCCTTGCATCCACTCAGCGAAAGCTTGCAAGAAGACATCCACAAGAACCTCATGTTGTAGTAATGGTTGATCCCAGAGAGTAAACCAGCATCTCCAAAAGGGCTATCTCTAATCTCCAGCTTCTGCAATTTGGGACAACCTTCGAGCACATATCGAAGTCCCAAATCGCCATCACCCGCAAAGGCCACTGAAAGAGTCCTCACTAACTTCCCATACAAGCCAATGTAAGCAAAGGCCCTATCAGTGAGCAGACCAGAAACAGCAAGCCTTGTAAGCTTCCTGCAATTCTTCACAATTGCTCCAAAACCCTCATCCATGGGTTCTCCAGTAAGGCGATCAGGCCGGTGACGGCCCATAATGCAGAGGCGGAACACTACGAGCTCCTGGCAGTTCTTAGACATGGCCACAACAGCTGCATTTGTCATCCTCTGGCAGAAGTAGAGAATTGACCGGAGTTCATGACAGCCCTCAGAGATTGCCGCAAGTCCAACATCTGATACAAAACCCTCAGAGTCCTCCGTAGCATCTAACGGAAAAACCCTCAACTCTCTAAGCTTCTTGCAAGTTGCAGCAACCATTTGAAGGCCTTCATCACCAAGAGAATCAAGGACCTGATTACACAATCAAGTTAGAATTTTTCTGCAAAAAAGTAAGATTTTGATTTGAATTTGAAAAGTTTTCACAATGGAATGATTTAATACCCAGAATGTTTGAAGATTGTGGCAACGGGTAATGACTGGTTTAAGCTGTTCAGCAGTGATCTGGGCATAGCTAAAGTTGAGTGAGGTGAGATTAGTACATACAGGGTAGATTGTGTGCAGGTACTCAGGAGCAAGATCTCTAAAACCTGATAGGCATATTAGTGACTTTGAAGAGTGGAAAGCTGATTCCAGAGATTCCTCAAAATCACCTACTTCTACAGAGGATGAGAAGGCGCCGGTGCCAAGGTGGGTGAGCTGAGGAGCCCGGGTCATGAGTTGGTAGAGCCGGTCCGACGATATATGCTCATTAACTCTCAGCCGCCGGAGAAAAGGCGAGCGGGCCACTAGAGCCAAAAGAGCATCAAAGTTCACAGCACACCCAACGCAATCGAATATCAGAGATTCAAGGCAAGTCTTTCCCGGAGGAAAATTCGATACCCAATCCACCACCTCATCTTCGTCGTCCTCAACATCATTCTCAATCAGATCCAGCGATCGTAGATGCCTAAAAACGCGCAATGAATCAATCCTCCAAGCCAAGAAACCCAAACCCAGATCTAAGCAAAACCGGGAAAAATTTTTTTTTTTGTGATTTTGAAAGTTAGAATGCTAGGGTTTCACCGGATCCGGAGAAAATAGGTACCTGCAATTACCCGCCACAGCGGCTAGTCCGATAGTGGTGAAGCCGTCGCAGCAAATGAGCGACAGGTCGCGGAAAGAGGGAAACGAGCAAGCGAGGAGGGCGAGGTCCGCGTCGGTGACGGTCATCCTCTTAAGGCATATTCGCTCGAGCCAGGGGTAAGCGGGAGCCATGGCAGCAACCCACGGAGACAACCGCGCGCCCCAACCCATCGGAACTAGGTTAAAATCGGCGAAGCGAGGCTTGCCTTTTAGCACCAGAGACCGCACGCGGCGGAACCGGTCGATAGCACGTGCAGGACTCACAGCATAGCAGTTGCCGATGAAGAGCTCCAGCCGTGTCTGCGCCTCGGCGCGGTACCACGATTTGCAGACAAGCGATGCGGCGTTGCGGTCGCCGCGTGAGGTGAGGAAGCAGAGGACGTTCTCGAGGACGTTCTCAAGAACTTGGTCGGAGAAAGGCGGCGGCGGGACGGCAGCGCCGCCAGGGGAACCTGCAGCAGCTCGGCACTTCGGCGGAGCGGTTCCTCCCGGATCCGGAGACCACCGGACATCTTTCCCCTCGTCTCCATCGCCGTTCTCCGACATCTCCGACCTCTCCTCCCTCATCGGTGGTGGGGTTCTGTGAATAATAAGAGCAGTGTAGGGGCCTGGAGGTTAAAAAAAAAGGGATTTTTATGGCTGATGGGATCTGAAGAGGAAAAAATGTAGGGAGTAGAGGAAGAGTTGGAGGAAATCGTGGGGCTATGAGTTACGAGAGAGGAAAAGAAGAGAGGGAGATTTGATTATTTATTCGGTCACTCGACTCACTCTCTTTTCTCTCACAGTCTTCTCTGTGCTCTCCCCAACTCACCATTGGGATTCTCCATGCTCTTCTCACAGTCTGTGTCTCTTATACACACAACACGCAATGTGTTTTTCATAAAATAAAAAAAAAAATTGATTATCTTATATTTCATTCATTTTAAAAATTTTAAAACTTTTAATTAGAATCTTATGACCTTTATTTATTAAACTAAATCATTTGATAATAATCATAATTATTGTTAGCACGACTATTAAGACTGATCTAGGAGATTTTAACCGGCTTGATGAAAGTCTCTTTTGGTTAATCTGTTGGTCAAGATGGAGGAAAATATTTTTTATCGCATTAGCACCAACCAAATAGGACAAAATTTCATAAGTATTAGTGCTGCATAGAAAAATAAAGGAATGGTGGCTATGTTTCCTGCAAGGAATGAGTACCGCTACACTGACCGGATAAACTTCCATTCTTTTTTTTTCTTTTTTTACCTTCTTCGTTCATAATTTATTTTTATGTGAACTATTTTTAAAATAATTAAATTTTCTATTCATATTAAATATTACAATAATTAAAAAATAGTCATTTGTAATTTGAGTGAGTTAAATTAAATTTATATTAAAAAATAAAGAATGAAAAGATCACTTCAAATTTAACTTAAATTAAATTGTCTAATGAGTAGAGTCCAATTTACTTATAACATGTCAATTTTGGGCTAATTTGAATTAATTATAATAATTTTAAATTTATTTAAATTAGTTATAATAAATCATAAAAATTATAATTATAAAAGGGAATATTCAATCCTACATATTCTATGAGTGATTTTATATGTCATCGAAAATTGTTTTGATCGGGCACGAATCTTGAGGCATATTCAAGTTGGAAGCTTTTAAAATTAAATTTGGGATCATCTGAATTCCAATTTCAGTAAACTTATGATCAAACTGAACATCTCAAAGAGAAGAACCTAACGACACCAAAATCGATCCAACCCAAGGCCAAATGGGTCCAAATTGGGGGCCTGGACCACATTCAGAAGGGTTAAAGCATTATTTGAATGACAAAATTATATCCATATATGACTTGCGTATACTCAAATCGAGCTTTTCGAGACAAAACCAACGAGCATAAGATCGATGAATTCCGACATCGTTAAGGCATATAAATAGTTGAAAAACTTTATATGATCGGGGAATCAATACGAGCCATCTAGGGGTGTAAACGAGTTGTGTTTTTGCCCTTATCGAGCTCGGGTCATTAGATGGAAAGCGAGTTATACTAGCGAACCCCTATAGCCATCTGATGGAGCACTCTGAACCTGCCCCATATCTTCTCTATATTTACGGGGTGTATCACTCATGAAAATATATGATGGGGGACCTAGGGCTAGAGATTGGAGAGAGCTTTAAAGCCTCAAGAGCCCCAACACCACTGCCAACCTCCGCTGAACTTCCACCCTACCAACTCCGGACTTCAGTCCGACTACTGTCGGACCACCACCCTGCCACCGACCACTACCGGACTTTAGTTTATTGCACCACCGCCCGGTCGCTGACCGCTGCCGATCTTCAGCTAGACCGCCGTCGGACCACCACCTAAAGCCGGAGTTCCACCAGAACAGCACCTAACGACCAAGTTCAGCCAGACCACTACCTTACGTAGGAGTTCCACTGGACCACCCCATAACACCGAAGTTCTGCCAGACTACCGACTTACGTCGGAGTTTCGCCAGCCCGCCACCGAATCACCGACTGAGGCCCGAACTTTCATCGGACCACGGACAGAAGTCGGAGTTCTGCCAGACCACCGAATAATGTCTAGACTTCCACCGGACCATCGCCTTACGACAATGATCTTTCTGACTTATATCTCCTATTAATTACGATCTTTCCGACTTTCGTCGCCTACTATGGTCCTTCCGTCCTTCATCGCCTACTACAATCCTTCCGACCTCCATCACCAGACAACGATTTTTTTTACCCATGTCTCCTGCGGACTACGATTTTTCTGACCTCTGTCGCCTACTATGGTCCTTCTGACATACATCGCAAAAATGGTTTTTTGACCCCTGTCTCCCGCCAACTACCATCCTTCCAACCTCCGTCGCCTAATACGATCCTTCCGAACTACATCACCAGACAATGATCTTTTTGACCCATGTCTCCTGCCGACTACGATCCTTTTCGACCTATGTTGCTAGATAATGGTCTTTCTGACCCCTATCGTCTGCCAACGATCCTTTCGACCTCCATCGCCAAACAACGATACTTCTATCGCCATATAACGGTATTTTCTTATCATTATTGTCCGCCTACTTTAGTCCCTCCTAATACTGTCATTAGACTACGGTCTTTCTGACCTCCATCGTCTGCCAACTACGGTCCTTCCCACCTTCGTTGCCCACTAACTACAGTCCTTTCGACCTCCTTCACTGATTATAATCCTTTCGACCTACGTCGCCAGACAACGATCTTTCTGACCTTTGTCGCAAGACAATGGTTTCTGACCTCCGTCACCTACTACACTCCTTCCGACCTCTATCAAAAGAAAATGGTCTTTTTGACCCCTGTCTCCCACCGGCGACGCCCTTCCGACCTCCGTCGCCTACTACGATCCTTTCGACCTCCATCACTATACAATGGTCTTTATGACCCCTATCTCATGTCAACTACAGTCATTATGTCCTTCATCGCCAGACAACGGTCTTTCTGACCCCTATCTCTTGTCTATTATGATCCTTCCGACCTCCATCACCTACTACAATCATTCCGACCTATATCGACAGACAATAGTCTTTCTGACCCTTGTCTCCTGACGACAATGGTCCTTCCGACCACCATCACCAGATTACGGTCTTTCCGACCCTGCCACCCGTCGACTATGGTTATGTCGACTAAATGAATATTTCAATACTAATTATTCTAATTCTCACCATATAATATGATGTACATTTGCTAAATCAGCTTAAGGCCTTCCCCCAATGAAGGGCTTCATTTATAATCAACTGCAAATAATAGTGGATTCATCCAAACTAGGTTATGCCTTGTGGTTTTTCCCCATTTTTAGAGGTTTCCACGTAAAAACTCTGGTGTCTCTTATGTATGCTACACCCTCTCTCTTTATTTGCTTGTGTGTTAGATCTTCATACAAATCTAAGCTATTAAAGAAAGTAGGAAAAAAATTAAATCTCTCCTGATAAAACAATATGATGATTATCAATTTTTTATTAAGAGATAATCTTTCAATAATATATATATATATATATATATTATTGAAAGAATTTTCATCACAATGAGCCTCATAGTCATTAGATTTGCATTGAAATTAGTATTACACATACAACAACAACAACAACATCAAGTTAGGGGTGTCAATTAAGGTCAATATATCGGGTTTGGTTTCAACCTGATTTGACCTAGGCATAAACGGGTTGATCCGAACCTGACCCGCACGGGTTGCCATTTGACCCGACCCGACTCGCAAATCCGCAGGCGTAGTTGCTTGGGCAGTTAGGTGTCGACACGTCGTGGGCGAATCCATGAATGGGCAAGGTTGGAGTGAGGAAAAGCGAGTTTAGAAACTCTGAGTGAGGAGAATCCGCATAGGGCCTAGGCCAGGCGGTCGGAGACTTGAATGAGGCAGAGTGAGGTGATATCGGATTGAGGCGAATTCACGTGGACTGAGGCGGCTTAGTGCCTGGCTTGGGTTGGGCATGACCTACTGGCTGGCTAGCTGCATGTGCGCATATCAATGATCGACCTGAGCGTGGCAGCCGCGGCTAGGCAAGAGCTCACAGAAAGCTAGTAGAACCAGGTTAGGTAGCTCGGGATCCTGGTTAGTCGGGTTGACCCGCAAGTTTCCGGGTCAACCCAAACCCGACCTGTTTCACAAACGGGTCGACCTGTCAGGTCATATCAAAAATTGACTTCCCTAATCAAGTATTTATCCCACTGCATTGGGTGCTACATGAATTATTTTTCTCTATTATGTCTTATTAAGAATTAAATTTTCATTTAAAAATAATAAAGAAAGATCATTCATAATATTTTCTCATCAAATCTTTTACGTCTATTTTTATATTTCTTAATATAAATCAAATCTAATATATTTACTCTCCCAATTGGGTTGAAATTAGTATTACATATGCAATCCAAAAAATAGTGCTAATTTATGCATAAATTTTAAGATAGCATACTATATTAAGATAAACTAATATTATATATATAATTTAACATAAAAAGTGAATTTGGGGAATAAACTTAATATTAGGAAAAATGTATATAAAAAGTTAATAGAGTTTAGATCCAAACAAAGCATTGCAAGGAACGAATTGTGTAAATGTATATAAACTTGCGAATACTTATGTAGTGTCATAAGATGATTGTGGAGGAGATTTGCAATGATGTGGGGCATGGACTTCAAGGCAGATCTATCGGTTCTTATCCACGTTGTATGATTTTTTGTTTGAATGACTGATGCATAAGATTTAAGATTTTTTGTCAGGCTCAATGATTTGGCAAATGGGGCCCATCCCTTCCACTCTTTGTAATTTTCTTAAATAAAATATTATAAGAGTACATCAATAATTAAATAACTAAATAATGTCAAATTTATGTAAAGAGTAATATTTTATCCACTAATTTTATTATTCTTATATTGTTATATATTACAATAAATCATATAATATAATCTAACATATCTATTTTTATTATTCTTTGAGCTTTAAGCATTAGCTTGATCTTAATTTTTTGAATAATAAAAATTTTCCCATATAAAAATAACCACTTAATTATTAATCATTTTTAATAAACAATAATAATTCTTATATTTATATATTAGATCATTATAGATTCATTTGTTAAAAATATATAATTTTATATAATGATCATCATTGTTCTTTTATTAATAATGATTTTGCACAAAAAAAAAAAAAAGTGGAACCCAAACAATATGAATGTGAATATTATAAATAGGTGTGTAATATGTATTCTTTTATAAGAATAAATAATTATATTATCTTACTTTCTTGAAGTTGTAACATTATTAATAATTTTAATAAATGTCTAAATATTTAT